ATTTTAGCTACACACTTTGTCTACATGAAACTGCATCCAGTCATTCAGAGGCATTCAACTTGCAGTTGGATTTCAGTTCTACTTGTGTTTTCATGGAAGATCAGTTCCCTAGGCAGGCCATTCACTGAGGGTAAGTTTGATCCTAGAGTCATCTTGATTGCAAGTTCTCATTGCTGCAGTTTCTATGCAGTCAGCACTTACTTAAACTATACAAACTAAGAAGGTGTTTTAACATGCACAGAAGGGAAAGGGACAGAGAAGTCAGGTGAGTGTGCCCACAGAATATACATTAGACTCGTCAGTTGTTTCAGCACCATCAGTTTAGTGCCTCCAGTGTGTAACAGAAAAGCACATTCTTTTAACGTGCTGAATGGAGGAAGCATAAATAAAATTGTAAAACACAAAATTGTTAGTCCAGGGGGTGCTAAGGCTACAGTTCAAGTAAGCTACAACTGGAAGCATTTACTTCTTTGTCCAGTTGATATGGATTCATTTTAAATTACTGTAAAAAAATGGCTGTGATTAATAACAGTGGTAGAGTTATTTGAGATATTGTGAAAACACACTTTCACAACTGTGGTGTTTTGGTTTTGTCTCTGTGTATGTGTGTATAGCTACTGGAAGACACTTAAGTTTTGGTTCTGCTTTCACAGCAAATTTGTAACCAATATACATTAAAAATAAGAACAAAACCAACTCAAGCACAGCAACGGCTGTCTGTTTAATTTTGTTGTCTAGCTAGGTAGGTTTGGAACAAGATATCATTGTATAGGTTGCAAAATTCAATAGTGATGTTAATCCAAATCTGCTTATTTTGAATAACTATAACATTTTTGTTTGCATACAGTAATGCTCTTGGAATAGATTTTTGTGTGACCAAAGTATTTCTGTTTAGTTTTGTGGCATGGTTTGTATCTATTCAGCATAAAATTCTGTTAGGTGTAAAAACAACAAAGTACTGGTAATTCTTATTCATTGGGGTTCCATGAGAACTGTCATATTTATTTGTTTACATTAGTCTTAGTTTATACAGATTACTTTCCTTTTTCCTCTAGTACCTAGGGAAGTCACTTCCAAACAGCCAAAACTTTCACTGGTTATGTAGAAGTGGAACTACCAGTGAACTAGAGAAAAAAAATCACACACCCTGATCTATGAAGGCAAATGACATTTCTTTCAGAAGCTCCACTATTCTGCAAAGTAGCCTTTGTTTGCCATTACTAGTGAGCAAGTTGTCCTGTGTATACATTGCAGTCTTTCTTTAGCCAGGACACTACTCATATATGCATTTAACAAATCCTTAATATTTAGATCTATAGTATCATAATGTCTTTCATGGAATAAATTTAGAAAGGTAAAAATATTTTTTTCCCTTCTTTCTATGTCATTTTCTGTTTTAAATTTGCTAAAAGGTTTTGGGTTTTTTTAATAAACATTTAAAATAATACCTAAAACCAGTAGGTATTTTTACACTTTAAAATTTGTAGGCCAAACAGTTGTTACTGAACAAGTAGGGTTTTCCCCAGGTTTTTTTCCCCTCTTGCCATCTAGGCTGCAGAAAAGTGAGTATATTGTCATAGGACTCGATGATTGAAGCATGGACACCTATTTGGTAAACTCATTGGCTTGATAATAGAAAGATGAGGATTATGCACCACAATTTCATAATTTTTCTGGTTAGAGATTGACATGTGGTATCTGAATTCAGGATCTCTGCACTGACTTGTTCATGTCAGGCATGCAGGGGAGAAAGCGGCACTTTCATCCTAGTCTGGAGCTAGTAGAGCATAGAATTCCTATAAGCACAAAACTTTCCAGCCTACCTTTTCAGCTTCTCTAAGAGCAATGATTCCTCATGGTCTGTTCAGATCTTAAGCAGAAATTGTGGGTTTGTCAAGGTAATTAAGAATTCCATGATGTTTAGTCACTCAAGGTGACTGACTGTATGTTCCTACAGATGAGCCTAACTTCAGAACCCCCCTAAAAAATGGAAGTAGAAACACATTCTTCTGGATGAAAAGATCTGTCTTTCAGAAATATAGCCTGGAACAGTTAGAATCCATGGGCTCTGGAATTGAAGTAATGTGTTGGCTCTTTCACTCATTTTAGGTCAAGCTCAACAGACAGGGATTATTACTGTTTACTTGTAATTACTTGTAATTGACTTGTATTAATCTCAGTAACCTGTCCTTGAAGCTGAATGGAATTTTGGGGGGTTGGGGAAGATAAATTTGACAGATGATTTGTCTTTTGTACGGATGTATAGAACCTAGAAGGGGGGGAAAAGAGAGAGGCAGGTTTACTGTGATGTGCTGGGAGATGGTATACCAGAGATTGCAACACTGAAGCATGATTTACAGATAGCGAGTTTGAAAGGTAGGGTTATTCCTGGATGCCTGGTGTTCAGCCCAGAATGGCAGTTCTCTCACAGAACCCCAAGTCTTATGCATAACTTGTTTTTCTATTTGTGGGGGAGAATAGGGGCAGTCCCTTTACAACTGATTTCACACAAGGAAACTTGAAATTGTAGGTGTTCTTTCAGTCTATAGTTTTATTAAGTGCTTACTTTTAAATATTGTCAGTGAGAAGGTTCTATCTGGTGACAAATGTTTATATTTCTTATGGCTGCATTGTAAAGATTCAAAAATGTACAATAATGAATTTCTTACTATGAAATAAGGAGTAAGATTTCTACAACTGCTATAGATTTTGATGTGAGCTGGTTTTTAAAATCTTAGCCACTTAAATAAAATCTTCCTTGCCTTTAAACAAACACTGTCACTGATTTTTGTTACCAGTAATTTGATAAATATTGGATCATGATTGTACGTGTCCAAGTAACTGGTGGAAACATTATAAGTAAAGGCTGTTTGATCTGTCTGAAGTAATACTTAGATTGGAAGTCAACTTCTGAAAGATTCTAACCCTCCTTCCTTTTCAAAAGTCACAGAAAAAGTAATTTCACTTATGAGACAACAACGTTGTGGAAGCTTTATAGAAGTAGTTTCAGGACATGCAAAGAATAACTTGGAGATACTATACTTCATATAGAAAAGTTGTTAAAAAATCCTAAAAAACAGCCCACAAAACACACACAAACACTACATCAAGAAATAACATAAGCTAAGTTCTTCTGAAACTCTAGAAGTCTTCAGGCTGGAAGAGTTGCTTTCATGTATCACATCTTGCAGGAGCTGATCTGGCTCTCTCACTTCAGCCTGCTCCAGGAGTGGGTCACAGCCCAGGAGCAGGATGACCCAAAGTATGACTAAAGCACTCGCTCTATGGCTTTTTGGCTGTCAGTCTGTGCTCTGAGGAGACAAGGACGAGAGGGAGGTCTTTTGCATGGGATAACAGAGGATTTATTGCTCTGGGGAATCTTGGGGGCAAAAGACAGAAAATGTGAGCGTGCAACAGCTGAAATAGGGAGGCGGTTCAAAGGGAGGGTACAAAGCATCAGCTAATCAGAGATATCCTGGGGAGGGTAAAGGGCAGGGTTCACAAAATCATCATCCAATGAGGGAGGTAGGGGGGGAAAGTTGGGTCACATGGACTAATCAAGCGTTGAAGTTTAGGGGATTTCTGAAGTGGAATTCCAAGCATGTGGTGGGCTTAAGACAGATTGACAGGAGACTCAGGGTAGATTGACAACATGGGGTGGGAGGGTCTCATTTGGACCAAACCATCAACTTAGGTAATAATAGAACATACCATTAACAAGAAACACACTGCAACATTCATGTTTCCAGGCCTCAGTAACTGTTTCAATGTTTTAAAATGGTTTAATTTGACAAGAAAAAAAAAAGAAAAATTGTGAGCAAGTTTAAAATCAATATTTATATATACATCATAATTTAATGCTTTTCATATTTATATCCGATACCATTAAAATTTTAGTAACACTGGAACTACTAGGTCACATACACATCCTAAATTTATCAAGTAGAGCAGATTCCCAAATCAGTCTTGCATTTGAAGGTTCATTTTAGAGTGAACATAATTGGAGAAGCCTGCATAAAGCTTACTATGGAAAACAGCCCTGGTGTTGAATTCTACTTGAGAAATCTTTACTTTGTTTTAAAGACTTAACTTCATTATACTGAATGACCTACCAAAAAAGGCTTGTCAAATGAATGTTATATTTTTTTTAGAGTAATTAGAAGCAACATACAGGTATCAAATGCTAAGTATACATAATCAAAATACTTTAACCATGATACTAATTAATAACAGTAGTTTCAAGAGTAGTAACAACTTGTATTTGTTTTGTATTATTTTTTGTACATTTGTAATTGTAATAACAAACTGTAGTAATAAATTTTCATGTATAACTAAAAGACAGATACAGCACAAAAGCAATGTTTAATTCAACTCCCAAGATGCTAGCTAAAGCAGCAATAAGAAATAACAAAGTTGCTCTGATTTGTCTGGAACCAAACTACCTAAGATAGGATTAGTTAGGCTAACCCTTAAATCCATGAAGTAAGAGTCCTAATATGGCTCCGTTCTTGAGGCATGAGTGACTCCACAGAAGCCTGTTGCTTTGGAATGACAGTTTTGCTTACTCAAAGAAGCCACTAGTGTTTTATTAACTTCCAGCTAACATGATGAATAACTTCTAGTTTGCCAATAGCAACAAAAAAACCCAAAATAACAAGTTAGGCTTTCAAAATAATAGGCCAATCTTTTTAACATGGAAAGTATTTGTGCTAAATCTCATGGCTGCTGGATACCAGTTTAAACACTGCTCTTACCTAGAATTACCCTTCATAAATCTATCATAAGCCCTTGCTTTGGCCATTCTTTCTGGCCAGTTCAGCATCAGTTTCTAGGTTCTTACTGTCTCATGAAAGTCACTTTCAGGGTGGTTCCCTCATCTCAGCGGGAGATGATGCACTGTGGTTGGTACCATTTTGATTCACTCTTTACTTGAAAAGAGAAAGCAAGGGAAGTCCTGAGCTGCTTCATTAAAAAAAAAAAAGTGTAACAGCTCATTAAGTGTATATAGAGCGCAGCCTTTCAGGTGCTATACAGACATCTCCTTCATACGTGCTCAAATTTGGAAACATGAAAAAATAGTTACAGCCATCTCTGTCTAGGTACCAAGCACTTGATGGAGCTTCTTTGCTTGCCTTCTGATAGCATGAGATGGTTTCAGGGATTGATGTACAGACTGAGTTTTGTGCCATTAGATAGCAGTAGTTTGATATTGCTTGTTTCCTGCAGAAAAACAACAGGACTACCATTAGCAGCATGAAGTAGAGTTAATTAACTGATTGTCACACAAATTGCTGGAAAACAGATGGGGGAAAGGAAGAGATCTGGTACACTCACTGTGTAACTGTTCTAAACACTAGCAGGAAAATATTTTGTTATCTTCAGTGAACAAAAATGGCAGTACATGAATTAAATACTGCAATATTTTAACTAGCAACAGGAGCATTTCCTGTGATATAATCTAATTCATTAAAATCCAAACATTAGAACAATACGTGGAACTAGAAACAACCATTTGAAATCAAGGTTTGCTTCATCATGAAAAAAATGAAAAGAGAGCACTAACATTAAAATTCATGGCAATTGGATACCAGTACAGACAGTCTCATGCAAGACTAAAGGCACCTTCAACAAAGTTCATTTCACAATTATTCCAGTAGGCAACTAGGCAGTAACAGAGCACATTGTATGCATCAACACATGCAGGAGTACTGGACCAAGTTGGGGAAGCAGTACAGATCACTGCTGAAAACATCAGTCCAGCATTTGAAGCTGCTCTCATTTTTCTTGAAAAGTTACAGCAAAGTGCCTTGCATCTCTCTTCGTTGCTAAAATAGAACACAGTATTCAGGATGTACATTTCCCTTTAATAAAAAGATTACTTCCAACATAATGGGTGAAGATATTTATGTCACATCCATTTGGGTACAATTGCTGTGTTTAAAAATGCCACCAATACAGTTATGAGCTACTGTTAATTGTGATAGCATGAACTCAACTACTATGAAAATACGAGGGATGGAAAAGAAGGGCTGTAAAATCAGACAGCTCAGGATAATGGTTGGTTCTCTCATGCTTTGTGATCATTAGTAGCCAATGAGAACTGGAGTGACAAAAACATTAGTCATTTTTTGGTCTGGGGTGAGAAAAGCTGATGTTTGCATAGGAAGTTCATTGTGAACCCAACAAGGACTCCCTAATCCACAATTTAGAAGTGAAGTTTTACAACTACACAAGGACCTGCTGTAACAGAGACAGCCAGGGCAAATATGAAGGAGGAACCCTGTGGTTCTACACCATACTGCCTTAAAGCAGCATGAGATAATAAGCCTCTCTCTCTCTTAACAGCAGGTTTTCTCCCCACAGATGCATGCAGGCACAGACAAGGTAAGTGAACAACTACTTTACCTGGTTGCTACTATCTTCAATTACAAATGAGAGGAACTGTCATATCACTAGCGGATAGAATATTTGGAGTGAGATTTAGTGAACTTTCAGTGGATATGATAAAATTAACTTGATACAAGCTTTGACTTGTAGTTATCTAGATATTGTCCCATTGGTACAAATTTTTGCAATTATCTGGGATGTTAAGCTCTTACCTCTTTGTAGGTAAAGCACTTGATGCTAAACTCCCTCTAGAGAATTTGAGGTGCTTGACATTTAGTTCTGAATGCTTGACATCAAGTGTTCTAAGAGATTCAGAAGTTTAGGGAATAATCCTGTGACAAGATTTCTGATTTAATTTTTATTTTCTTAACATGGCTAATTCAGAATGACATAACCTTCACAAATACAGCAGCCTACGCCCTTGTGGATTAACCAAGGTGTTTTATGAGGCTTCTTCATCTGAGTACCATGGATTGTTCGTTAACAAAACACTACCTAATAAAAGGATTTTTTTAATAGATGTGCAGACATCAGTAACTGTGTCAGCACACTGTAATTTTCCCCCCTCCTTCCCCAGCCTGGATCGGCACCTCTTTTAGACAAGAGTCAGGGAGGTACTGTTCTCACACAAGGTCAAAAGTAGGCTCTTTCTACTAAAAATCGGACTTCCACAGCAAGGAAACTAAAGACAAGGAGAGCATTTGACAGATTTTAGAAGCTGCAAATCCAATGGCAGGTTTAATCTTCCGTAGTATCTTGAAGAAAAAAATGGATATACTACATTACACCTGAAAAAGTTCTGCAACTATTCCTCATCCTGAGTTACAGGGACTACTTAGCCCTGCAATTGGCTATATTCAGGTGGCAGGTAACCTGTACCAAGAGTTGAAGCACGCTTAGCAGTATTTACCTCTCCTCTTTCACAATGGCATCATCAAATGCTTGGGAGATACGCTTCAACTGGCAAATCCCTGATGAGACCAGTTCCAATTCGCAATCAAACTCTCTGCAAATAGAATGGTGGTTGCTGAAGATCAAACAGGACAGGGCTGACTAGGTGACACTATTTAGTCCTCCATCCCTGCAGTACCACTCTTGTTACCTCTAGACTTCATCTAGAGGAGTTTAGGGCAGTGTCAATTATGCTCTTAATTCCATTGGCCAACTGCTTCACATCTCCATTCATCCCCCAAACAGCTCTCTTCCAACTCAGCCACAGGATTCAGATTCACGAGGCTTGGATTCAACTTCTACCTTTAACCTTTCTTGTGACTTTGACCAAAAGAAATACCTATGTGCATATTATGAAGTATTTCCCTAGCTCACAACCCTTGATCTAATTTGTGTTTGTTGTTTGAGGCAGGAATCTCTCTTTAAAGAACTCAGCATAAGCAGAGCTATTCCTGTTATCTTTGGAATACAAATAGCAGCTTTGGAAAAGTTACCATTAACCTGGAGTAAGATACATACAGCATATTTTCCTTCGCCCAAAAAGCACCAGCTAAGAACCTAGGTATGTCTCTAGGAAAAAAATACTTTCTATGTTTCAGCTTTATGCACAGCTCAGTCCCTGTCTATACAGGGAGCTGGAACTATTTTAACTATTCAAGCAGCACATACCTACACACCTTCAGGGGAATAGGACAGAAAACTTCATACTTTGCCTTTCACTTTACCAGATAACCTAATCAGAAAAGAAAAAAAAAAATAAATAAAAAAAAGAGGTTTAGAAAAGAATGTGACTTACATCTTTCTGCTGGAAGGAGCAGGTGATGAATAAGGGCTCTTTAGTGCTGCTGCTCTTCTGGATCTCCGGAGAGAGACAGCATTTTTACCAAGCCAGGATGAGAAATCCCTCCATTCTCTATGTTCTGGTGCCCTTGTTGGTCCAAGCAAGGCCCTTTTGCCAGAACTTGGAGTGCCTTTAGAACTGGTTGCTGGAGTAATGCTCTTATAGCAAGGTGTTTGAGGTGTAGCACTTCTTTTTGTGGTAGAACTGGTCGCACAGCTTCTGCTGATGGATTCAGCTGGAAAGGTCACCACTGAGCATACTGGGCTTTGGCAAGACTTCTGTATTTTCTGAAAGAAGCATTAGACATGTAAGGCTAAATTAACTCAAGTAACCTCAAGTTTGGAACCAGAAAGACTAGGAATATTTGGGCTGAATTCCTAGCTTCCATTCTCATATCAGGTTTCAACTAACATAAATGCATCTTAACCTCTGTACTCATTTGCATTGTAGAAGTTGCTTGCTTCCCTTGGTACTGATGAAGGACCTCAGAGCAGGCATTGGAACAAAGCTCCTGCTGCTATTATGCTGGAAAATGTCAGGCTCCCCAACACAGACCTTATGTATTTAAAAACCTTATGTCTCCCAAGAAAGGGAAATGCAAGCTTAAATCTGCTATCTTGTAGCAGGTTTTGTCAGTCTAAATTTAGATTAACTATAATGAAAAACATGGTAGTAAATAGTATGGGTACAGGAGAATAAATAAAAGAAAAAAATTCAATATGCTGCATATTTCTCTGTAAGAAATTTTTGCAAGCAATGGCAATCTCTACCCAACTTCCTTCGTGTGAAGGCTGCCCTGCCATATATGATTAAATACAGTAGGGGAAAAGCTCTTATTTCATAATAAAATAAAATAAAATGCTTTCACCTTCCTCCATTCTGCCAGATCCATAATTTGCCCGTCTATACTTTAAGAAAAAATATTAAAGATTTTAAAAGTTGTGCAAGTGTGTGGGAATGGACTCTCTGGAATACAGCACAGAGTACAGAATTCACAAATCTTAGTACTGGAATTGAAGCAAAAACTAAACTCTATCTATGTTCCAGTGCAAAGGCAAAATACCTGGGACACTGTTCCAAAAGCATATTTTGCTGTTCTTTTAATTGTCTGAAGAGTTTGGCACCTCTGTCTTCGTTCTGGACTTCCCCTAGTTGGGGTTTTATGAAAATGCAGCTCTACTCGCTTTAATGGTGCCCGTTTTCTTAAAGACATGCGAATGGTATTGAGAGGACTCAGAAAGGCCCTTCTCTTGAATTTGTCAGGCATAGGGCTCTCATTCTCACTAAGGTCAGCTAGGAGCTGGTGTTTCTGCCACACCACTGTTGCTTTGACATTCCGGAGCACAGATGCCATCTGGTTCCAGTTCTTGGTCAACTTTATTTCTAAAACAAAATGAGAGCAAAGCTTAGACAGAACAAGGTACAAAGCAGAGGAAAAAAAAGAGAAGTGGAAACTGTTACACGATATATTTGGTTACGTTTGCCTGAAGCAAGAAAAACAGAGCTGAGCAGATTTTTACTTGGGGTTTTGAAAGAGAACAGGGCTGATTTCTATAGCTCTTTAGGTTTGTGCAAGTCCATAAAGAAGGCAATTCCGCTGCAAGGCTCTAGTTCGAGAGTTAGAATGCTTTATGAGTACATTTTTTTTGTTTGTGTCTCAGATCAAAGTCTGCTATCCCAAATTTTTGCCTTCTTTAGTGAAAACAACCTTCCACTGCCAGACAAGTCTACGCAGCTGCTATTGTCTCCTGCCGTGCTTGCTAGCTGAATACTTCTATGTCAGTCACACTTATCACTGCGGATATATAAATCCTGAAATAGACAGAATTATTCCTAGCAGAAGACTTTGGTGGGAAGGGCTAAAATTCTAGTTATCTATATGGTGATTTAAACATATGCACATCTATACCTTCAATTTTTGATTTTCACTCGCTAGCAAATATGAGTCAGGTGAAATGACCCGAGAGATCCGCTGCTGCCCAAACGGGTATTGCACAGGACAGCGCGGTGCTCTATTTCTTCCAGAGGCCACGGCGGTCTGGGGCAGCCCCCGGCCGGGCCCCTGGACACGCTCAGCCCCAGGCCTCGTCCGGAGCCACTCCCGCCGTAGGGACCTCGTTCTGCTGGCACTGGCCGTGCACTGACAGCCGCGGCAGATCCGCAGTGCCGCCACATCGGGCTAACGGGACACGGGGGCACCGGGCAGGCCCAGCCAGTGCCGTTACTGCGCCCACCAGGACGGTAGAAACAAGCGCAAAAAGTGCGGCCAAGGCCGGAGGAGACGCGCTCGGGAAAAGCGGGCCGCTCTGGAAGCCGCTCGGGGCAGTACTCACCGAGAGCACCGAACGAGACCGAGACCCGACCGGGACCGAGCCGCCGCCTCCCCACAGCAGCTGCTTCGTGCGCCGCCACCGCGTTTGAACGCCGCACCGCCCTCTCCGCGCCCCCGGATTGGCGGCGCCGCCGCCGCCCGACCGCCACAATTGGTTGGGCCCCGCGCGCGGGCCGCTGCCGTTACTCGGCTCGGCGCGCGCGGAGCAGCCGCGAGTGAGGAGGGCGGCGCGTGCCGGTGCTGAGGGGAATGTCCCGGGCCAGCGGTACAACTGCAGGGGCTGCGCTGCCCCTCCGCCCGCGGCTCTGGCGCCTTTGCGGACCTCGGCCCAGAGATCCCCGTCAGCTGGAATAGTAAAAGGACTCAGGCTGTGTTGCCCGCTTGGGTATCCAAGCCGCAGCTCCTGTTACTTCTGGTAATTATCGGTCAAAGTCTTAGAAGGTTTTTGTTTGTTTGCTTTTACTCCACGGGCTTCTGCAGCTCTTGCTGGAGAAAACAGCTAGTGTAACTGTCCGTGTGGGACCGTAAACCATCCGGGAATGCCCTTTGAAGCAAATCGGGCAGCAAAGAGGGCCAAGGGCAAAGGATGTATGTGTTCAGTGGTGGGGGATTTTATTTTGATTTTTTTTTTCTTACCCAAGTGTCAAACAAGACATGAAAAACATTCATTTATCTTTAAATGACTGATACCTGAAAAAACAATGCTCTAGAAGGAACTGTAGCAGGAACTGGGTTTTTTTTTCCCGAAGATTTATTTTCCCCACACCAAGTTAAATTCAGAGCTGATAGCTATAACGCCTCTTTAGCTAATACGTGGCTTACAATGATGGGGAAGCCAACCCAGTAACACTGCAGGATACCTCTTGAATCTCACCACTGGCTTATAAACAAACATACTTTTTACAAATTCATAAGAACTCTGGTTTTAAAAAAGTTCCTCTTGATGGTGTTTGCAGCCCTTTGTATTCACACATTAATAATGATGAGTGTAATGTAATAAACATCCTTTATGAACAGATGTGTTTCTTTGTGTTGCAGCCCTATATTCTGTCCTGCTTTCCTCTGTCCATTGACTTCAGGGCATCCAGGTAGCTGAAGTGTTAGACCTCTTCCTGTGTCCTCCCTACCCTCAATCTCAATAGTAAAAGTTTCATGTTCTTCTTGCTAGCAAACTGCAGCTTCACCCACCGTGTTTTAAGACTTGGCTTCGATTTTTGAATACTGATCTAGAGACCTCCTAAATGACTAATAGTTCTGCAAAACAAAGAGCTCTTCTTGAGGGTAAAGCATACAAGAGAGAGAGTCAGGTGGTAATCAGACCACACACTCAGTTTCTAAGGGTTATCTTTGTAGCTGGGATTGGCACTTTGAGTGGCAAGAGTGGGCAGAGGAATCCCTAAGAATAGAAATGCTGCTAATTGAAGAGTATGTATACAGGCAGAGAGACTCTGTGTGGCATAAGAACTGTAGGCCAAAAGACAAACAGCAGACTGAAGCTTAACAGTGCTATCAGCCTGTCCTTTCATGCCTGTTTATAAAATTGAAACAGAAATATCTGAGTCTTTGTAGAATTGTAAACCGACTCTCATGGATCTGCATGTTTTCTTCTTCTGGTGTGCTTCTTGTTTCCATCCATTTCAACTTTTTTATCCAGCCTTAATATAGGGTAGGGTACTACTTGTCATGGAATGGTACCCTAGAAGGCTATGAAAAGTCATTAGAGCTAAGTTTGCACTGACGGTCCTGTTCAAATGTATAGTGCTCAAAGAACTGAGTACTTTTAAACAGGCATCAGATCACAAACCATGATCAATTAATTGCAGCTGATGCTAACCAAAGGTTTTGAAGAGGGTGTGGCTGCTGTAGCAACAGCTGATACCATTTCACTGTTAAGCTAGACTGAAGACAAAAAAGTTAAAAGATGTGTCCTGTGCTTGTACTGTAATCATTCTTCACTCTTCAGTTTGTTTTTTTTTTGTTGTTGTTGTTTTGTTTTGGTTTTTATTTAGGTAAGACTACAGTTTAAACTCAAGAGTTTGTTTGACAGCTGGAGTACAGAGGCAAAGGGCTGTTGGTTTTGATTGTGAAGAAGCAAACTTGCATCCATTTGTTTAGAAGCCTATTATGCTGGGATTGGCAAGAAATCTACACACAGCTTTCTGCATGTTGGTTTGACTCAAGACCTGGAAGAGAAGTCCTCTCAATGGAAGATGACGGTGGACCTGAGCAAAGGTCCTGGGCCTATCTACCCGATGTCTGTCTGAGGCATGTCTTCCATTGGTTAGATGACAGAGACAGATCTCGGGCTGCCTTGGTCTGTAAAAAATGGAGTTGTGCCATGCACTCTGGATCTCTCTGGAGATGCAGAACCATCACGTTCTATGGCCAACCATCAAGGGCATGCACACTGGAGTTTCAAAGTGCACTGTGGTATACCAAGAAATTTGGCAAGTATTTGAAGCACCTTGAGATCAAGTTATCAAATCCTTACAATACCCCCTTTATCAAAAAATTTCAAGTGATTATGAGAGGTCTTCTTTCACACCTGGGTAAGTGTAATAGTCACCTAGTATCCCTGAGCATCAAGTACCTAGAGTTAGACTGCTTGATCTGGAAAAATGTAGTTAGGGCTCAGTTTATCAAGAACTTAGCTGCCTTCCTGAAAAGAATGAGCAATCAACTTGATTATCTTAACTTAAAAGGAGCAAGAATAACTTTGGAAGAAGGCTGTGAGCTTCTGAATTCTCTGAGCAGCTTGACTAATAGAAGCTTTATATCTGAAATCAATATTGAGGATTTCTTCAGTCTCCACCTTTCTGTCTACCGCAGTGCTTTGTTCCACCAAACTATGTCTAAGTTCCACAGGCTAACCACCCTGACTTTCAATTATAACTGCATGTCTGATGAACTGCTGGACATCCTGCGGGAGCACAGCTCTCACTCACTGTGCACCTTGAATATCAAGTGTCATATCCATGACCCTCATGGGCAAGTGGTGTCAGGAATGTCATGGGCAAACTTGGCCAAGAGAGCCCCAAAACTGAATGTGAACTTCTTCTTTGAAAGAGTAATGAAGCATGATCACCTAGCTAGGATCCTACTCGTGGAGATCCCAGTTAGGAGCATCAGCCTACGGAGCTGCTATTTTAGTGACCCAGACTGGACAATGAGACCTACCCTCACCAACCTTCTCCCAGCTTACTGGCATGGTCTGCAGGTAAGGGAAACAATAGGGACAACCCTACTGAAATATCGCAAAGCTATACAAAGTAATCATGTAGGCCTTCTACATGACAGCAGTCAGCAACAGAAGTTCCTGAGCGCATCAGTTTTACGTTCAGAGGGCAGTTTTCACAAGTGAGTAATTTCAGTGTTTCACCCATAGTGTTAGTTCATTAAGCAATCCTTGTCTACTTATAATCCACCATAATGCTATCAGGCTACTCTATTTTGGCAATGCACAAATGTCCTACAGCACATCTAAATTAACTGTGTCAAAATTAAATTAAATTAAATTTGCCTGCGTTAAAGCACTTCCGTGTCACAAGAGATGTGTCACCAAAGGTTTGCAACACCTGACCCACATAAGTGAGTATCAGGTCTTTGCACACCAGAGGGAAACACATGGCCTTACACCTGATGGTTGCTGACTGCTTTAAGTCCTGTTTCACTGTAGAGTTTCCAATAAACACCAGAGATCTGTAAAGCTTTCTAGAAACCATCATTGGCTCTACTCTTGTCTCTGGGATAATTTTCATTATGTCAGATAAGATCATGGTATGACTGTGGGTACAGCATTTTCTAATAAATGTACAAGGGATCACCCCATCTTAGCAGGAGAGTGTTAACACATACACTGTTGTCAATGCAAAAGAGATTCTCCACTAATGTCAAGGTACAAAATTGATCTGCTGACACTCATTTTTGTTGGTTAACTTGGAAAACTATTTGTTGAATTCTAGTTTCTGCATGCAACGTCTGTTTAGTAGTACCAAGTGTTCATTTTTTTTCAAGAAATTAACACTTGAATTGAACAATGACCGTGAGTTGCTGGACAATGAGCTACTACATCTTATCTTATCATGCAAGAGGTTGTTATTTCTGAAAGTCTGGGCATTTCTAAGCGTCAGCTTTATGGAGAGGCTGCTACAAAACCGTGCAGAAAGGAAATGCATTTTGACTACCATAAAGGTAAGACTTTGTGCTTCAAAACTCCCATTCCCATTCTTGCTCCTATACCCAAAGGTCCCCATGCACAGGCAAAGGTCACTTACAGAAATGTTAATATAACTATCTTCCCTATGTTATGCCTTAGTACCACTCACAGGAATGAGGTTTTCCAACCTTCTTAGCAACATACAGATACTATAGAAGTTTTTTATGAAGTCCTGAAAATTCCAGAAGCCCTTCCTAGACTGGCATTCCCTCTGTCACTTCTAGTTCAAGCCCTCTCCCACTTCTATGGTTTCTCAGTCACCTCTCAGGCTCAGTGCTTATGTCTATGATTAAACCAGAGAAGGTGGACTGAATCCCACTAAACTGCAAAAAGATATAAATACATCACACCCTTCAGGGGTCCTGTGCTGAACTGGGGCCAGGCCACAACTGTGGCTGGTGTAAACCATGCTGACATGCTACTTTGTGCGATACAATCTGAATCCAGTAGGTCCTCACAGATGTGTGCAGAACCCAGGGATGCATCAGTTCTGGGGGTAAAAAGAACCTTGCTCTTCCTGCCTGAGTGAGCACAGGCAGACAGCCAGGACAAACACAAAACCACAGCTAAAAGACAAAGAGTAAATTTATTTCCCTTCCTTTGCTCACCGAGGCATCCCCAAAGCAACCCCCAGTCAGACACACACAAGTGGGGATGCAGGCACTGTTAAATCTGGTCCATGCCAGAGGGTCACTGGCTGGTGTTCATACTGGGTTATCCTATTCCCATCTGCAAGATCACCTGAGTGATTTACAATCCTTCTTGCTAGTCTTCCGCTATTTAACCCATTCCTCCCAACACCACCCAAAACTTCTTTGGCAGGAGGTGATGTTTTCAGTCAGTTGGGAGTGGGA